TCTATTGATGGATGATTTGTCTGAATGTCAAGCTCCTATGAATTTCCTGGCACCTGGCTTGGTCCAGGAGCTCATAATTTTCCAGTTGAAACTATGGTGAAGTCTAGATTGAAGAGTTTTCCCCCTCTTTTCTGACTGCTAGTTGACGTTCATAGATATGCTGTTAGTCTTCTGCCCATTTGTCCTACATAATGGCTCTTACAGTCCTTACCCTGATCAGATTCTAGCCTACATTGCTGAAATTGGTCCATGTTTCTGTAGAAGTGACAATGAAAACAAATTTCTTTAAAGATTGATTGCTGCATCATTTCAGACAGATCACTTGCCCAAAGGATTCACACGCAATGATTAAAATCAAAATTATTTGCTCTATGAGACGTTTCTAGGAAACACGCATTCTTGTTAAACATAGATTTCATTCCCAGAACATTAATCTTCCATATAAATTTGATTTTTTTCAGATTTCCATTCAAAAATGCTTTTTAAAGAGCAGATACTTTCTATAACTTCTCAAATTTATCCAAATCAGAGGATATTTTTGCCCTGAAGGAAAGCACCCACAGTTTTAATACAATTTTGCTTGTCTTGAATATTTGTTTAATGAGCAGGAAGTATAATTACTTAAAACCAACGACCTATTTTAAAAATCAGTTATGTCAGTGTTTTTTTTTTTATTATAAAATGGATAATTCAGTAAAGATAGCATAGTAGGATGACGGTGCGGCATCCATGTGAATCTTTATTCTATATCTGGAATAATTTTCCTAACCTTCCAATATGCACATTATTTCTCAATTTAAAATGCATTACTCAATGCATCACTATTTCCACACCAGAAGAAATTACCATTATTAAAAATTGGGCTACCATCACTTCTCATTTTTGTAAAAACTGTTTCCCTTTTAAGCATCACAGATATTATTTCACTGTCCCCTCAGACAAACCTCTTAATTCATACAAATAGGCAGCATAGAGATGTGGCGACAATTCAGATAGCATGCAGAACTTTTGCTAAACAATAACTTCATTGTTCTTCCCTCACCTGAACTTTTCATTCAGGCACCTAAATTTCAGAAATTCATCAAAAGCTATCTCATAAGGGCCCAGTTTTAAAGTTAATTTGCACCCCATTTCTTTTGATTTTATATGTTAATATTAGGTTAGATTTCTGTAAGTTAATATCTTTAATATACCATCCAAGAATACTATGGAGCTGAACAACCTTAGAAGCCTTATATAATAAAAAAAATTGAGATAGTACATTTGAGACTACAAGTGCTTCCTTACATTAGGCAAAACCTCAGCAATTTATCATAGCAAACCTGTTCCTGCAGACACTTAAGACAAATTAACACTGCAGAGCTTTCTATGGTTTAAGATTATCTACAGTATAAAGATACATAACCTTTGACAGCAGTTTAAATGCTGGCTATCAGCCCATTCCCAAAGAGGTCATTCTCAATTTGAATTAATAAGCATCTCACCAAAGATGAATGTTAAGCCCAGAGACTGATGTTCAGGGATGCATCACTTAAAATAAAGTGGTCTGGGAACTTAAACTGGAATGCAAATTATTAACCGCAGCATATACTGTATGGTCATCCAACTCATTCATCAATAGGATATGGTACTGCAAAAACTAATTACAAAGAGGGTTTTATGATTCGGTCAGTATTTTGTAATTTAAACTGTACCTTCTAACAAATTCCAATATGTCTTCTACCTGGAAACTTGATTATACTTATATCATTCAGATTTCAAAAACAAAATTGCATGGCACCAAATTTCAAAATCGGAGTGCTCCCATCTGCTAAAAGACCCAAACAGAATGTGGGGAATAACCTTTTCCCATTGTTTACTCCCCAAATTAAATTACCCAAGAATCCTGCTTAACATTTAAGGATTCCCTAATGATTATTGCTAGTACCCTACACTAACTGATTTACAAAGTGAGGATTTATGGCTATCACTTAATCATCACTTGGAGGGGAGTTTAATATTCCCTTCTAGTATTTTTTTTACACTCTAGACAAACAAGAAACTTAACCAAGAAATCCTGGCTTGTGCTTCTTTAAATATTCTTCTTTGCAAGAATATTTAAAAGCTTGTTTTATTATTGCATTCTTGAATAAGCAGAATTAAAGTTGTAGCAATCAATATTAGGCAAGCTGGATTGTGAAAAGTAAACTTACAGGGGTGCATTAACTTTTAAGAAAACAATTCAAGTTCTTTACCCCTAAAATATAACACCAACAATGTCCACACAAAGTCCAGAATATTTAAGAAGCAGTCTGTTAGAAGAAAATTTACCTCGATGTTTCCTTTGCATCTAAAGCCATGGCCAAGTACCCCAGATTGAACACGAGGCTCCCTCTGCAGTGTCAAAGTAGGACTACGAAGCAAATGAAGGGAAAACACTAACGCCTTACATTTTAGTTGCCCATGGTGGTTTATGAAAATTAACTCAGTAAATAAGCTATTCTGACATACTTCCATACCACATGATCACCAGCTAACCAAGTTGTTGTGATGCAAACACTGAACCCCCCCCCCAAATGTTCAATGCTTTTGTCTAAATATGTAATTACAAACTCCAGCGGCAGTCCACAGATTCAATTTCAACAATACTCAAGTATATGCTACCAAAACAATGTATCTGATTGCACAAAACCAGCATCTCCCACCTAAAGGACTCACACACATTTAAAGCTCCCCAAAACACCCAAAAGCATTCCACCAAGAGTGACACTGAATTTTGTTTAGTGCTAAACTGTTCTTAGAATTCCTCCAACTATAACTAGATTGATAAGCTGTCCCATGTAAAAATATTGGGTAGGGGAAGCATATAATGTTGACACCATCTCATTATTAAAGATGCAGTAACAAGTGTTTCCAAAACAGCTTGAGGCTAAAATTAGTATTTATCACCTGTTAAGTCAATAAGCTGTATTTTGTTTTAATGGGACCATGGAAACAGGACACTACCTATACCAGACTCCTTGGGCAACTGCAAGCCTACCTGGTTATTAAAAGCACCATCTGTTGTTTTCAGTTTCCCAGATAGCAAAAACCAGGTTAACCTTTACAGTACAACAACCATGGAGAGAGAAGATCCTTATCTTTTCTCATGATCGCTCTTCATAGAACATCAAGTTCTGGAAGAAGGAAATAAATTTGCAGGGCAGCCAGAAACGAGAACACAAAATTCCATTGTTTGGGAGGAAATAAAACAAGCTATTTACAAGAGGAACATTTTAAAAGAGCTGCAAAAGATGCCACAATGATTAACTTGAAGCAGATGAGACTGCTTATTTCAGTGAACTACAGACAGAAAAACAAAAGCTATTAACACGGTAAGCCAGTCAATACCATAGATTCTTTACTCCTCCTTGCCGTTAAGCTGAGAACAGGAGGTTCTTTTCCCCTCCACTTCCTGCCCTGAAGGGAGAACAGACTTCCTTTTATAATAACAATCCATACCAAAAAAAAGGCATTCATTTGAGAGTTGTGTAATTACACCTGCATTTCTACACACCTGGAGGGTTAGACTCCACAGAAAGAAGAATTGTCTCAGACATACAAGGCAAACCCCTAGGAAGAATGAATTCCCTCGGATCTGCTTTTAATTCCTTCTGGGGATCAGCTGAATTTTAAGGACAACCAATCTTCATTTGGCCTTTGCTTCCAGATTCACAACTCAGGGTACCCCTGTTCTATACACATTCCAGACACCTTTGCATACGCCCCATTTTCCTTTAAAGTCTCCTCCATACCTGATTTCCACAAAGCCCTCCATGCATCTAGTCATATCTACTTCAAAAACCCCATCCTCCAAGTAAACCCACAATGTCATAGGAAAAGGGGTGCTATCACTTGTAGACAGAAGGCAACTTCTCAAAAGCTGAAGGCAAAGTTCAGAATGAAAGAATCCTTGCTGCTCTGTGAGCTTGTTTTTCTTGTTTCATTACCCCAAACTAGGTATTCATCATCAGTGCTAGTCAAGCAAGCTCAGAGAGCACCCCATGTCAACCCTGAGCTACAAATGTTTATTAGTAAAGTCCAGAATGCCTTTCCATTATAGCCGCTCCACCAGATTTAAGGGTCTCTAAGGAACCTCATGTGATTCTCTCCCCCCCACCCTCCAAATATTGAGAGAATAACTTGGGGTTGGGCTCAACTGCCTCTCTGAACCAGTTTTCCTTAGCATCATATTCCATCCTCCTTCAGCAGCTGGAGGTTAGCAAAGGTCATCTTTCCAAGCCCAAAGTGGTCTTCGGGGGGCCAATCTTCAATCCTACAAGCAACTTCCATCTCTTTTCTCCTAACTCCGGCATTGGATGCAGCCCCCATAAAAAGAGAGAGACTCTCTTTAAGAGAGACCCTTATTCTGTTCTTTTCACCGAGCGGCACCTAAGCCGGTCAAGACAAAGAAGACCCCAAATTCACTATATACCATCACCCCCTTGTTGCAATATAAATATATATATAAATATATATATATAAATATAAATACATATAAAAAAGGGATGCGCGTTGAACCGCCCCAATCCGTCTCCAGCAACATCGCAGGATCCATCTACTGTGCAATACGGCGGAGTGGGGTGGGTTTTTGGGGGGAGTTGACTTATCCCTATTTTTTGGGGGACCCCCATTTAGAAAAAGCTGCCATGCCAGGCATCCCGGACGGATCTCCAGTTTAAGGAACGCCGGTTTAATCCAACCGGGGTTTAAAACGGAGAGACTTGAATGCAAGCACCGGGCGGAGAAGCTGAAACGACGCGAGTTTGCACCCAAGCCTGCGTTCACACGAGCTGGGAGAGGGGTGCAAAACGAGTTATATCGGTTCCCCCCCCCCTTTCCGCTTACATGACAAAGATTCCCAGACTGGAGCTTCCGTACAAGGCAATGCAAAGCGGCGCCTCCGCCCCACCGGACCGGCCTCGGTTTGCGCTCCCCCCAACCCCGGGCCTTTAAGAGCCGCGCGGACGCGGGGCCCCCACCTTGGTTGACCAGTCGCAGCGCGTGGGTGAAGGACGGATCCAGGGAGTCCTTCTCCGCCATCAACTCGGGCAGGTACTTTTCCTCCATGGCCCGCCCGCCTGCCCTGCTGGGGGGGGGACCACCGGACGACTCGCTTCGACACGCCGGGAAGAAAGCCAAGCAGGACGCGGTTGCGGCGGCCACAGACGGTAAATCCTCCCTGGGCGAGAGAGCCGAGGAAACGAGGTGGTTCCGGTTGGCGCCCTTCCCGGACAAAACACAAGCGCTCGTTAGTCCCCGAGGCCACGGATCCAAACAGGAGCGACGCCGCCAAGAACGCCCCAGCACCACCCCCTCCGGTAGCAAACCGCGACTGAGCGTGCCAACGGCGGAACTCGCCTTTTAAATAGTAGGCTCCGCGGCCACGCCCCCCCTTTCTCCTCGCGCAGCAATGCCGCGCCCCCTCCCCACCCTTCCAACGCCCGGCGAGGAAAGACCGAGCCGTCCCCCTTCCGCCCGCCTCCCTTTGTTTGCCATTGGGTACGGAAGAGCGTTGTGACGCCAGGAGGCATGGCCCCTCCCACCCCGCCTAGAGAGATTGGCAGCTTTTCTGCCCGCCTTCCTTTCCGCGAATGTCAAAGAGGTAGAGGTCTCACCGCCCCGCCCCGCCCGCCTGAGACCTGCGCCCCCTCCCCCACCAAAAAAAGGCGAGCTAGCACGCGCCCAGAAGAAGCCGTTAGGGGGCGCGTGGCCGGTGGCCGGGCGCGCGCTGCATCGTTTGGACGCCTTGAGGCGGGTTGGCGGCAACCTGTGGGCGTTCAAACACCCGTCGGGGGCGCGCCTGGCTAATCATCCTACGAAACCCCTCAGACAATTTTTTTTTTATTATTATTATTATTATTATTATTATTATTATTATTATTATTATTATTATTATTATTATTATTATTATTATTATTATTATTATTATTATTATTATTAATAATAATAAATAATTAATAATAAAAAATAAAAAATAAAAAATAATAGTAATAAGTAATAGTAATAGTAATAATAGTAATAATAAAAAGATTACAGTACTCTATTCCATTTCTCCCAGAGTGGGGCTTGTAAGACTCCAAAGGACCACTAGGGGGCAGCAATGCTGGGTATTGGGGTTCTTTCTGCTGCCCCCTGGTGGATGCCTTGGGTTTTCCAGCTTCTCCAATGGTCTCAGCTGAAGAAGTGGATTACTGGAGTTCAGGGTATAGAAAGTTAGCACCCACCCCTCTCCTTAGACGAATGAAATATTTTTAGAAACAGTAAAAAGGCAGAAAATTGTATTTCCCTTCATCGGAAATGGAGAAGCCTGCTCTTGGAAAGCAGCCCCCACCTTTCTCAATAGCCCTCAGCAGCAGTGGTGGAATTCAATTTTTTTTTTGCTATCAGTTCTGTGGGTGTGGCTTATTTGGTGGGCATGGCTTATGGTCATGTGACTGGGTGGGCGTGGCCAACTCAATGTCACTCACATCAAGGGGTGCCTCACCTGGCCCCTCCCCTCCCAGCCATTCCTTGTCACCCAGCCTCAACTTATCTCTAGTTTTGTAAAAATGTTGCTCACCTTTTTTTGACTTTATTATCTGCATACTACGGATGTACTTTCATGGACCACTGAAAAGAGGAAATGGCTCACATGCTTTACCCAAGAGTGTGATTGGCAACAGGCTTTTAAGGGTCTGCCACAAAGAAAGGGGGACAATGTATTTTCCAAAGAAGCAGAATGCAAACAAGAAGCAGTGGATGGAAACTGAACAGAGAGAAGCAACCTAAAACTAAGGAGAAACTTCCTGTGAGTGAGAACAATTAACTAGTGGAACTGCCTGTCTCCAGAAGTTCTGGGTGCTCAATCACTGGAAGTTTTAAAGAAAAGACTGGACAGCCATTTCTCTGAAATGGTATAGGGTTCACCCCAAGGTCCCTTCTAAATATTATTCTGACACCTTTCCCAGGATTTCTACTCAGAGTTTGGCATCCTCAGTTTTCTTGCCTGAGCTGGGGGTTGGACTAGAAGACCTCCAAGGTCCCTTTCAACTCTTGTTAAACATGTGTGTATTTTATGCTCTGGACTATTGACATTGAATGCATGTAAACCCTGAAAAATATGTGGTAGCCCTGGGCAAAAGAAAGGCAGAAAAATCACTCTAGGTGTAGGGACAGTGTAAAATATTAACACATGATAAATAATGGAACAATTAAAAATAATAGCACAGAGTTTTATCTCTCTCTCTTTTCCTATTTTTTTTCTTTCTTTCTCTACCTTCCTCTTTCTTTCTTTCATTCATTCTTTTCTTTCTTTCTTTCTCTCTCTCTCTCATACACACACACACACATACACACAGAGCACTTAACAGACAAGCATTTTGGAAGCAGCTCCTTTAAATTTCTCCAAGGCTTGATTCACCCCCACCCCCTCTGTCAGACTGCACTCTTTCTCACTCCAGACACTTTAACTCACATGGGGAAAGTGATACTTGCAGCGTCCATGCCTTTCTTCCTTTTCCCCGGGGAGAAAGAGGACATGGGGAACGGAAAGCTAGGAGAGCGATCACAAGTGAGCAACCAGGCGACCTGGTTGGGAGCATGGCCAGCCAGGGATTGCCACCGGTTCGGCGACCCATGCCAAATAACCACTACCGGTTCATCCGAATAGGTGCGAACCGGTTGAATAGCACCTCTGCTCAGCAGATGTCAGCACTTAGGAGATATAGAGATAGATAGCTCTATTCATAAGCAAATACCCTCACCCAAGATCCAACAAAGGTCGGATTAGATCTGAAAAACATCCATCTTAAGTGGAAGGATGCGAAGATTGTAGCTGTGTATCAAGAACTGTGGAGTACGCTTTTGTGCTTTGCACTAGACATGAAGAAGTTTCTTGATTAAGTTATTGCTTTCTGCTTGGTGGTTTGTCTGGTGTTAATCCTTGCTGCCGGGAAAAAGATGTTTTGATTTCTGTGTTTTCTGCTTGGCTTAGCTTCCTTTTTTAGGAAAGAAGGAAAGACCTAAGGAAAGCTTGAAGCTAAGCTTAAGAAAGAAGGAGCCAAACTAAGCTAAATTAAACTAAAAAGGAAATAAAACAACCAAAACAAATCCTCATAGGCAGTCCATACCCAGATAAGCACTAATTAAAATGAACCACACAGCAATCATTAATAGGCACTTAGTAGCATCTATTGAATTGAACTCTTTATTGTCATTGTATGTTTATACACAGTATATATACAATGAAATTCACATAACTCCCAGACTCAACATGCACACACAAATTACAATCTCCAAACACCCACCCCGCTTCCTAAAAACACACAAGCATCCACACAACAGACCAAGTAATTCTGTCCAACAGCTCACTGATGGTGGTCCTTAAGTTCATTGTTAAGTGCAATTATAGCTCTGGCATAAAAACTATTCAGAAAATATGTGGTCCGAGTTTTCTGTATCTTCTGCCAGAAGGCAACATTCATAAAGATTGTAAGCAGGATGGGAAGAGTCTCTGAGAATGTTGTCTATCTATTGTCTATATGTCTATCCATCCAGAATGTTATCTAGTGATACTCTGCATCCATAACAATTGAGTTGAAGATTATATGTTCATATATTTAGGCTAAACTACTGTGATGCACACTCTAGATCAGGGGTGTCAAACTTGATTTCACTGAGGGCTGAATCAAGGTTTGTTTCACCTTGGGGGCCAGGGTGGGCATGGCCAGCTCAATGTCACTCATGTCGGGGGCACCTGTGATGGCTCCAGGGCTCTGTCAGCAAAAATGGACTCCCAAGTTCTGTTTTTGGCTGAGATGGCTTCCTGCAACCCTCTGCCAGTGAAAACAGAGCTCAGGAGCAGAAGTGGTGTTCAGTATGTCCTACATTTGTATATTAAACAATCCCATTCAAATTAAAAATTGATTTCCCCCACAACTGAAAAACCAGTAGGCCAGGGATGGGGAAAATTTTTATGGCTCACTCAGGAATTCTGGGAGTTGAAGTCCATAAGTGATAAAATAGCCAAGTTTCCCTACCCCTGGTGTAGAGTCTCCCGCTTGGGTGGGGGGGTTGGACTAGATGACCTACAAGGTCCCTTCCAACTCTGATTATCTGTTATCTGCCTCTGCCAGTGAAAATGGAGCTCGGGGGGGCTGTGTGTGACCCTCCTGGGCTCCATTTTCCCTGGCAGAGGGTTGCAGGAGGCCATCACAGCTGGAAACGGAGCTTGGGAGCCCGTGTTCGCTGGCAGAGAACCCAGACCACCAAAGGCACCCCCGACATGAGTAACATTGAGGTAGCCATGCCCACCCTAGCCATGCCCCCCCACCCCCGATTCAAACACAACCCTAATACAGCCCTCAATGAAATTGTGTTTATACCCCTGCTCTAGAAGTAGGAGCGCATGTTATTTATGTAAAAATGAACATAATTAAAATGAACAGAAAATAAGGTCTGCAAATGGGATCGCAGGAGTGGTGTAGAAAGAATAGGTTTTTTCTCACTGTCCTTTCTCTTCTCCAGAGGAGAAAAAAAAATCTATGTGGGATGTTCCCAGCAACATGTCTAGTATAAGCAACAGATACTGAGGACTTATAGGTTCATAAGGCAAGTGCCTTTAGGATTTGCTAATGGCAGTTAGGAGAAAAGCTATGTACCTCAACCTTCTGCTATTAATTAATTAATTAATAATATTACTATTAATCTTCTCATCACTCCTTATCACCCATCCCCTCCCACTTGTGACTGTATGATTGTAACTTTGTGGCTTGTATCCTTACGATTTATACTGACTGTTTCCTAGTATGATTTGATTGCTTATTTGTACCCTATGACTATCATTAAGTGTTGTACCTGATGATTCTGGACTCTTGATGAATGTATCTTTTCTTTTATGTACACTGAGAGCATATGCACCAAGACAAATTCCTTATGTGTCCAATCACACATAAAACAATTCTATTCTCTTCTGGCCAATAAAGAATTCTGTTCTATTCTGTTCTGTTCTGTTCTGTTCTATTCTATTCTATTCTATTCTATTCTATTCTATCAACCATCTAGAAACAGTTATTTTCTTCAGAAAACTCTGGAGACTTCCAAAAGAGCTTAGAAACATCAACAGTAAGGCTATCCAGGTCCTTAAGATTATTTTCTAAAGCATTGACCCAGATAGGAAATTATTACAGCTCTGGGACAGTTGGAATTATGGGATGGCTATGGTGGTGAGAATATCTGGCTGAGATCTCAGCAGAAGTGATGGAACAGCATCACAGCCAACTGAAATAGCTGGGAGGAGATGCTAACCTCTGTTTGGAGAGTCCAACTTTGATCTGAGTAGTACTCACTTGTATATTTTC